CGCCCCGCCCTGACCCCGCCAGGACGGCCTCGAAGGGCGGGGCGGGTCGGCCGTCAGGGAGGGGCCTCGCCGGGCTCGGGTAGTCGCCCAAGTCTCCTGTCCCTTCAACTGGCCCTTCACCTGTCTACTCTCCTGTCCCCTCACCTGTCCCTTCACCTGTCCCCTCAGCTGTCCTTTCAACTGTCCCCTCACCTGTCCACTCTCCTTTTCCTCACCTGTCTCCTCAGCTGTCCCTTCACCTGTCCCTCATTTGTCCCCTCAGCTGTCCCCTCTCCAGTCCCTCAGCTGTCCCCTCAGCTGTCTCCTCAGCTGTCCCCTTACCTCTCCCTTCATCTGTCCCTCACATGTCCCTTCATCCCACGTTGGTTCCCTGAGACACCCTTCGTGCTGGGACCTGGCACTGGGGCTGTGCCCTGTGGCTGCAGGTGGCAGAGGGCGACCGGAGAGCACCCATGGCCTGGACCCCGCCGTCCTCCTGGACAGTGGTGGCCCCGGTCCCCGCCCGGGGGCACAGCCTGGTGCGGGCCCTCTGTTGACACTTCCCTTTGGTGACAGCGAGGTCTGTCTTTGAACATGACTGAGGAGACAGCCCTGAGCGTGGGGACGCCGGCACGGGAGGGAGTGGCCTGAGGACACCTCCTGGTCCCAGTCCCCGGGACAGAGGTGTGATGCCTGAGCCGGTCCCAGCACTCTGTTAGGGCAGCCAGAGCCTGCCGTTTGCTGTCACCTCCAATGCTCTTACTCGTATCCTGGGGGCAAGAGTGCCAGCTTGCCAAAAATGTCCCCTGTAAGGAGCTGGCTTCAGAAAACGCCCGTGACTTGGACCTTGTGCTGTGTTGTGGTGAATGACTTTTCCACACTAGACAAGTCATCCCAGGCAGGTTTTTAGAAAACTCACGAGTAATTCCTAGAAACCGCCAAAATTCTTAATGTTTATGTGGCAGCAAACACCATTCAGAAAGAAGACCAAATAGTTCAGCAGGTAGTGCTGGAAAAACCCAAGACTTTGAGCAGCTTTTGGTGAAAAATAGAGGACTTCTGTTGCCCTTTCTCCATCAAGTCCATTGCCTTGTATGCAGCCTACACTCCATGAAAACTTAGTTGAATCTATTAATTAACTGGTGTAGAAACCAACCAGCAAAACAGAACCTAAGATCACTAGTCAGTTTTTTTAGGTTTTGAGTAAGCTTAGAACAGAAACTACAGGGATATTTGTTCTATTAACATTAAGGACTTAATGCACTTTTTCCCTTCCAGTATGGGGTATAGCCGAGGACCAGGGTTTGCATTGAATTGTCACTTCTCTTAAGGTTTTTTTAATCTGAAACATTTCCATGGTGTTTGCCTTTTATAAAATAGACATTTTTGACATTTTGTTAGAACCCTCCACCCCCAAAACAAAAACAACCAAATTCATAGATAGCAGAATGGTTGCCAGAGGCCAGGGGTGGGGATGGGCAAAATGGATAAAGGGGTCAAAAGGCACAAACTTTTATTTATAAAGTAAATAATTCCTGAGGATGTCATGCACAGCTTGGTGACTGCAGTTGACAACACTGTACTGTATTTGAACACTGCTAAGGGAATAGATTTTAAAAGCTCTCAAGTCAAGAAAAGCATTTTTGTAACCATATATGGTGACGGATATTAGACTTATTGTGGTGATCATTTCACAAGACATACAAATACCAAACCATTACATTGTACACCTGAAACTGCTAGAATGTGATGTGTCAAGTGTATCTCAAAAGAAGAATAAGAAGAATTCACATTTTTGAAGACTATAGTCCTCCCTACCCTTCATTTTATTTTTTCAATTAATGTACAGAAATATTGCCTTGCCTTTTGGCACACAGTTCTTTGAATTTTAAAATCTGTGCAGACTGGTGTGATCAGTCTAGAGAACAGTTTTATTACCCCTGGGACTCCTCCGAAATACTCGCTGTGGCCGACGCTCCTCCCATCCCTAACCTCTGCCAATCCCCGTCTGTTCTCCATCACCACCAGTGTCATAGAGATGGGAACATGCAGTGTGTTACCTTTTGAGACCGGCATCCTTCCCTCAGCAAGATGCCTTTCAGATTCACTTAAGTTGTCGCACTTGTCAGTAATTTGTTCCCTTCCGTTGCTGAGTGATGTTCACTGTACAGATGTGCCCTACTTATTTATCCATTCAGCAACCGCGTGACATTTGGGTTTGTTGGGGTGATTAAGACTAGAGCCACTATAAACATTCATGTACAGGCTTCTGTGTGAACCTAAGTGTACAAGTGAGTATAAATTATAAAGTAAACATCACTTAACTCACTTGGGCAAGGCACACACTGAAAGACGGTTTGGTTTAGAGTAATTCAGTTTAATTTTTGTCTCTCCTTAGTTTGGCTAGTTGAATTTCTCTCGTTGGGTGTGTTTATGTTTAAATTGAGTTGAATTGTTTAGATTACTTACAAATCCTGCTGGTTACAAGGTTTTTTGTAGAGTGAGCAAAGCAAACACAGGCAATACTAGCCCGGCACCTGAATCCAATGGCTTGTGGCCTGGGTAGTGAGCATCCTACTGCTCGAGCTGAGGTTCTTTTCTTCCTCATGAGAAGTGGAAGCGGGAAGCCAGGCTGCTGTCAGCCATCCTCTTCCTGTAGTTGTCCTCAAACCTCTCGTTCTGGGCTACCGTGAAGTGGTTCTTCCAGTCTCCAACTGCCCCTGAAACAGCCATGGGGAGAGTCAGCAGCTGGCGGGGGTCTGTACTCCTCTGTTGTCCAGTTTCTGTGAGACGCTTCTGTTCCTCCTTCCAGGAGGGGCAGACCAGGACCACACGTGGCCCCACCCCCCCAACCGCCGCACCTCCTTTCCCCCCAGCTGGCCTGATCAGTGAGATGTGGAGGAGCGGCCACCAGGTGGGGACAGCGGGCCGGGTGCCTGCCTCTGTCCTGCCCTCCTGCACACCCCAGCGTGGTTGGTGCTGTGCCTGCGGCTCCCATGCTGCAGGCCTACCAAGAAAGATTTGCTTCTGGAGGGACTCAGGGTACAGTTTTGAGAAAGGAAGGGGGAAAAAAAGATTTCCCCCCAATTTTCCACTTGCAATCCTTGTTCCCTTTCTCAGATTGCTCTTTCTCCACAGAGCTTACTCTCATCTACTGTCTTGTGTATTTTTAAAGTTTTTTTTATTTGTTTGTGGCTAGAGTTTCCACGAGGGCAGGAATTTTTCTGTGTTTTGTTCACTGCTTGGAACATTATCTAGAACAGTGCCCAGCATATAGTAGCCACTCACTAAGTATTTTTGAATGAATGGATCTAACGAATAGCTTAGAGCCCTAATTTATAAAATGGCTTCTTTTCTCCACCTGACTTAATTCTGTGTATTTTCACCATATGAGCCAGAGCTCTGGAGTAAAAGTGAGGATGAGAGGTTGGACTTAGACACCAAACCTCGCTCTCCAGTTGTGGCTAAATACTGATTTCATTTCATCTGTAATTTCTTAAATCCTCTTTTCCCAGAATCATTCATTACAGATTGCACATTTCTTATCTATAGAAAAGAAAAATCCCTAAAGACTCTGAAATAGTGGACAGTCCTTGAAAGATTATGGCCAAAAGAAAACATAAAAACCTTTTCTCATGAATGGAGAAATTGATTGATTCATGATTTCAGTTGGAACCGATGAGTAGTTTGCCATTGGGTTCTGCTTCATGACATCAAAGGAAGTGTGGTGGACAATTTTATCCAGAACTTTATCGTCTAGGCTCTTTCCAATAAATTCTGCCAGCTTCTGAATTTCATGCTTTGGGTTCTATGATCAGAGTCAAAAGAAAAGACTTGATATAAGATAATTTAAATCAATAATAGTTTTACAAGAACATTGAATGAATTAATAGCAGTAATCAGTAACATGTCATGAGTTAAAATAGTCTCACAAATGCTCAGCTTTTCAGAAATGACTCATTTTGACCTATTGACTTGTATTGTTCTCTTTATATCAATTGGAATCATCACGCTTTTCTTGCTGGAACATGGAGGCATCGGCTGAGCCATGTCAGTGAGGTGGCCTGCGGTGCTGGGGAATGTTCCACTGAGGGCATGTGACCAGGGTTACGTCCAAGTGTCCTGCTCCAGCCAGTCATGGGCCACAGTGGGGTCTTGGTCAGCTAAATGCCCAACAGGGAGTGTTGCAGGGCCACTGCTGAGAACAGAGGCTGTGCAGCAGCTTTGGGGACATGGCCACAGCCCGCCTGTCTCCTGCTTCTGACATTAATAGAAGGGCCCCCAGACTTTTGCAGTGGTGCTGATGGGGGGCCAGGAGGATGGGAGGGGACATCTCTGCACCCAAGAGGCACCGTGGCACCAGCTCCAGTGCCCCTACTGGTCCAGGTAAAGCTTTCAGTTCCATTGTCACCACTGTTTCCTCACCAGAGGGACACGGCTCAGGATGCTGTGTGCAGGAAGTCCCCTGTCCCCAGAGGCATGGTGGGCTGGTGGTGGGGTGGAACCCTACCACCGTGTCTTCTGCCTTAAAATGGGCTCCTGCTTAGAAAGCTTGGCTGTCAGAAGTGCCTACTTGGCCTGACACAGACTAGGAGCCAACAGGAGTGCTGAGAACTGTGAGCCTCGAGTGACCACAGTCCAGTGACACTTGGAACGTGATCACAGAAACATGTGAAAGGGCCGCGGGGGCTCTGAGGTTAGACCGCCTGTTTCAACAAAGTTTCTTCCTGGCGCTCATCCTACAGTGGGATCCACCCCGACAAAAGGGCACTGTTCCCAGAGGCATGTCCTCCGTGGACACGGCTGTGACACACAGGGTGAGCAGGCGTCACCCAGGTGGACATTTCCTGGTCTGAGCTCATTAGTGCCCGTTAGCACGGCCCCTGTTTGCCATGTCTGCTTGTAGAGGAGCAAACACTTCCTCATAACATGCAGCTCCCTGCCGTGACAGTCCTTAACTGAGTAGCTGCCTCTCGATTTGTGTGTCTGGACAACCCTCTGAGCCTCAGTAGTGCCTGTCTGTGAAACGTGTTCCCCCGGGACCCAGGCTGCCAGTGTCTCCTTCTGCACATACTCGCTTGTCTGGTTTTTCCCTGCCTTCCGTGGTGTGTTAGTACAACTGTACCAAGTAAGCATTAAGGAGGGAATGTTACAGTGGTATCTGTGTGGGGTGTCCCGCAAGCCCTTAATCATGGTTCTGAGAATCCTAGAAAAGTGACGATTTATCTGTTTAATAAAAACGGTAGACAGAGAACAGATCAGATGTTACTTATAAAAGTCCTGGCGATGTGGTGTACAGCATGCAGACTGCAACTGATGATGTGGTGTGTCTGAAAGTTGCTGAGAGAGTAGATCTTAAAAAGTTCCCCACACAAGAAAAAATTTTGTAACTCTGGGAGGTGACGGATGTTAACTAGGCTGATTATGGTGATCCTTTCACAGTGTACACAAATATCAAATCATGGTGCTGTACACCTGAAACTAATATATGCCAATTATATCTCCATAAAAACATGGAAAAATGATTGTGTTTTTACTCTTTTGATATTCTGTAGGCACAAGTGGATAAAGCCCACTAGTGATTGAACCCAAGAGAAATGCAGCTAAACTGATGTGCACAGGAGTCCCCTAGCAGTTGTGTAAAACTGTGCGTCTGAGTTAGCAGGCCTGGTGTAGGCTCCATGAACCCATGCAGCTGTCTGCGAATTACCTGTTGAGAGCCCGACTTTCAATCATAAGTTCAAGAACAGAGACTCTAAGTCTGTATCGGTCCCTGTGTTCTGTGGAGTCAGAATTGAGTAGACGATCGTTTGCAGTAAACTCCTGTGACACCATCTCATTTAGCCCCTGTAACAGATCTTGGAGGAGGATATATTACCGTCTCTTTTTTGCATTTAAGGAAACTAAGTAAGTCTAGTCTAAGATACTAAGCCTCTTCACCAAGAATAATTGCCAGCAGGCAATAAAGCCAGAACTTGGATTCAACAGATTTGACTCTAAATCATTAGCATTTTCCATTACACTACAGTTTCTTAAACTGTTTCTTAAAACTATGACGTCCTCAAGTACTAACGGAAAAAAGCCAAAATGTGCTAGAAAAAAATGTCCCCTCCTGAATGGAATTTTAAACTAGATGTGCAAGGGGAAAAAAGGCATCATTCGTTTCAGGCTGCCATCTGCCTATAAGGAAAGGCGTCCCATACCCCAGAGTGCAGGTGAGACCGTGATACAGAAACTCACGGTGCCCCAGGTGCACTCTGGTGTGCGGCCGGTGGCCAGTGAGATGCAGCGTTTTCTGTGCCCTGTCTCACTCTGTGGGTCCCTGAGGGGGTCCACACGTTACACCCCAGGTGTTTTATGGTCAGATGGGAACCGCGGAGGCGCCCTGCCCCTTACTCTTTTCATGTCCTCGTAGAAGAGGTAGAGGATGCGGTGCTGGTGCCTGGCGTCCCACCATCCCTTCACGTGGTCGTACCAGGAGCCCCAGCACACTGCAAGAGAGAACCGGCAGTGAGTCACGAAGCCTAGCCCGCAGACACCCCACTGGAAAGGGGACCCCGGGGGGAGGGAGAGTGTCACAGGGTGACCCCCTCACGGTAAAGAGGGCAGAGCCCTGCTGTTCTAAGGAAGTGCCTTCTTCTTAGAGTGCTTGAGGAGTTTGAGACAGGAAGGAACCTCACCTTTCCCAGCCAGAAAATTCTCAAAATACTCTTCCCAGGTTCCTGGGGCCGGAAGGGCTTTATTCATCCTGTGGAAATGGTAGTAAGACACCATGTTGTCCTTGGGGTTTCTCGCTACGTAGATCATCTGGGAATGGAAGCAAAAGCAGGATTAGACCCAGAGATGGTTATGTTCAGGCAGGTGTGTTCCACACAGATGAAGTTTTCTGATGCTGCTTTTCTGTGATTCGGCTTTTCTGGGAGATGAAAAGCATTCATATCAATTTGCATATGGATTAATGTGAAGAGAACTCTCTCTTTTTTGTAAAATATTTAACAAGTGAAGTGTTTTCAGAGGAAATTGAATGAAGACGACTCAGGGTGTTCTAAGGAGTGAACTCTGAAATCCTTTTGCTCTTTACCTTGCAGTTTTTCTCCAGCAAGGATGGTGGCAGCAGTTGGATGGGAAGGTGTGTCTTTAGGGTCCGTGGTGAGGGCATCGCATTGGCTTGTTCCAAACCTGTGTTCAAAAATGAATTTTCCATCACTTTCCACTGTTTTTATCTATTTGCTTCAGAATCTCGCTGCTTTGTTATTACGACATTATGAATGGTTCAAGGCAGCCTGTACTGTGTGCAGATCTTGGCACAAGAAAGTGGGGCGTGAGAGGATGGTGGTGTCCCAGGTGTTGGGCGAGTCCCTGGGATGTGCCCCATCAAGTGAGGGAGGGTCCTTGGCTTTGCGCAGGAAGGAATTCAAGAGTGAGCCACAGCAGAGTGAAGGCAGATGTATTCAGAGGGATACATACTCCACAGATAGAGTGCAGGCCGTCTCAGAAGGTGAGAGAGAATGGCCATGAGGGGTGGGGAGTGTTAGTTTTAATGGGCCTGGTAACTTCATATGCTAGCAAGTGGGAGGATTATTCCAGCTGCTTTGGGGAAGGGGCTGGGATTCCCAGGAATTGGGCCACCACCTGGCACCCCCTTTTTGACCTGTTGTGCTCAGCCTCGAAGCTGTCATGGCGCCTGTGGGAGTGCCATTTGCCATGTTAATATATTGCAGTGAGTGTATAATGAAGCTCAAGGTCCCCTGAATGTCAAATCTCCCGCCATCTTGGGCCTCGAGGTCCCCTGGGAGTTGAATTTTCCTCCACCGTGGTGCTGAAGGTCATGTCCTTCTTTTCACGGTTGTCCCCTGCCCCTTCCCCTCTTATCTCAGTCTCGTCTGAGAGCATACATCCAGCCCTGAATGAGTTTTTTGGCTAGAGCAATTTTTAACCATAACAATCAACCAAATAGATCAGAGCCTAAAAATTCAAGCCCTTCCACCGTGAAATGACGTGACTTACGCTGATCCTTATGGAGTGAAACTGACGTCTAACTGGAGAGTCAGAACCTCGCTTCCTTTTGCACAGTCCCGCCTGGGCTTAGGGAGGCTCTGGAGCACAGCAGTGGCCAGGCATAGCGGGCAAGACGCAGCTGCCTGATGCCCAGAACTCCGAGAGGCTGCGGGCAGCGCCCGCCCCGCGTGCGGGCCAAGCCCGCGGCCCAGGTGGCTGTGCCATACTCACCAGACTCCATGGTCGGGATCTTCCACTCGATGAAGGGGAAGCGCTCGTGGGTTGGTGCTCTCTGGCTTCTGCCAACATCACACTTGTTTTGTATCAGGTCCACTATCTCCTGTGTCCAAGTCGTTCCTTATTCCACACGGAGGAGGAAGAGGCACAGACCTTTACACACTGCACGTCTTAGAATATGACCCAGCGCTTGCTAGCACAGCTGTGTGAGCTTTGGGGCCAGGTTTATAATGGAATTCAGAAAACATCATTCTTTGTATCTTGTGTGATCATAATAGGAACTTTTATACAAAGTCTCCAATTTGGAGTGGCTGTTAGATTGATAAATATATGGTTCTTTTTTTCTCCACCATTAATCGTGACTGTTGTGCCGTTGAGTGAGCTGCGTTGTTCTCTAGAAAGGGTGGGAGGTGGTCTTTCCCACCAGACTGTGAGGAGGGGAGTAGTCACGACATGGCCTTCGAACTGTTTTCTGAGCACGTGGCGTCGGGCTGCCACCCAGGGGCCACTTAGGGCTTAGTGTCCCCTCTCAGCCTTTCCTCTGTTTTCCCTGAAAGGCTGAAAAGTGCGTCCCTAGACCTCTTGGCTGCTAAGGTCTGAATGCTACCTAGATTCTGCCGGTGAGATGCATGAGTCTGAGATTTAAAGGAGGGGAGGTAGGGGTCACCCTTCCCGAGATCATGACTGCTGGTGGTAGAAGATTTGTGGAGGTCACCCCACCCTCTGCTGCCCAGGGCCTTGACCCAGAGGCTGCACCCCTACTGCCACCACTGCCATGGGAGAAGGGCTTCCATCTCCCGATGCCCCCAGTCCTGACCGACGTGGGGCTGGCCACCCGATCTCCAGCTTCGGGTGAAGACCTGTGGCACTGGGCGTCCTGACAGAGTCCACATCGGGAGGAGGCTCTGAACCCTGGGTCTAGGCTGATCTTCCCGACCGGCTCTGATGCCTGCCCTTGTTACCGGACCCCTTTCTCACGCTCTTAGTTCACTTCTGGGTCCCTGGGATCACCAGCATTTTATGTCCCCGATGAGCTGGTCTTATCTTTTTTGGCACCGATGCCTTCATCGTGGATGAAGGACCTGTATTTCTTTAGCCCTGTACTCAGAGGAAGTGGGAGCCCTGTGTGCTAGCTTGTGAGCTTGCTCGGAATTTACGGGCTGGCAGTGGCACAGGTTCGCCTGTGGCTGGAAGTTCCGGTGGGTGGAGCGACTTCTCAGCTCAGCCTCTAGAAGTCGGTGACCCTACAACGTGCTTTTGTCTTGGCTCATTCACAGAGCACACATCCTTTCCCTAAAAATTAGGTGTAAAACATACGGGTCACCTGGGCTCGTTTCTTCTTCCCGCTAATCAGTGCTGCCTTTATTAATGTGTCGGGTTTGAGGGACTGACGAAATACCACCTTGGCTGGCAAGCGTGTTACTTATTGTGTGAGTCATTTGGATCTCCCAAGTCCTACTAACCCCTAACCTGTGAAAACCCGAAATGAACCGAATCTTAATGCTCATATTTGACAGGTGGAGAAAGGACTAATTATTAAACATTGTACTGAAATTACAGTAACAAGGTAGATTTGTGGATGAAATTAAGGTGCTAGGATGTGATCCTCACCAGTGGTTACTTTCAGAAATTCACATTTAGAAAATATTTATCCTGAACAGACTCACAATGAGTAAGTTCAGAAAATCAGGGCCTATATGAAGCCAATGGACATGTGAGTGTAAAGCCCCGTCAGAGATTTTGATCCGATCGCTGCAGATAAAGGCAGTGAGGGGTTGGAGCGTGTGTGTGTTGTGCACGTGTAGCAGAAGTTATTGACAGGGAGCATGATTTTGCAGAGAGCAAAGAGCAAGTGCGTACGCGGTTGGGGCATGGACTGAACACTGTGTTTGAAGTCGACATGTAGACCTACGCAGCCAGCGGCAGAGAGCCGCTTCCCCAGGCTAACCTCCAGTCGTCACGGTGCCGTGGCTGGGCTCACCTTTGTCTTGTTTCTACAGTGACTTTCTTAAGCTGATTATTGGGATAAGAAAGTGGGTTCACCACTTACCCCTAGGGAGGGTGGAGATTAAGGGAGCAGTGCCCGGATCCCAGGGTGGGAGACTTGTGAGCTCAGCGTTGCATAACCCAAGCCCCTGCTTCTCCCCAGGGTCTGCAGTGAGGGCCTGAGTCCAGAATAAGCAAATCAACAACCGGCCCTTTTGTTTTCAGCTGTTTGACCCATTTTCTTATGGGGAAGTAAGTGATATGGACATCATGGGAAGAATAAAATTCTTAAAACGGGTATGCCATTTTATATTTTTTGTGTGGTTTCAGTTTCCACCAGTGATTTGTCTTGCCCAGTGAACAGTTTCCCACTGAGACCCAGCTTTACCTCATGATCGATGCATCTTGCCCACTCAGCCCCATCTCTCTTCACCTGTCCCCCTCACCCCTACCTGCTTTCGGATAGGTGGAAATGAGGAGGTCGTCAGGCCGGGCTTGGAAGTTCCAGATCTGCTCCCAGGTGTCACAGGTGGGCGTAGGCTGCAGGATGCCCTGCACGTAGTCCACAGCGAGGCGCTCGGCCCATTCCCACGTCAAGTCCTCCATTTTGTGTAAGCCGACAGTGTCAGAAGTCAGAGCTCTGCTCAAGGAGTTCCTCTCCGTCTGCGGCTGCACTCGTGGTGTGGCGCAGATAAGGCAGACTCAGACCACAGGCCTCCCTCTGCTGGCCAGCTGGGAGCTGGGAACTATTGTTCAGGACTTTGTACCCAGCGCTTTCCTGATCCTCTCCCGCCTCCTCCCCAGCCAGGCCATGACGTGTCACTGCCGAGAAAGGCCTCCTGTTTTTGCTTCTTCTCTTTCTTCACAAAATAAGTCACAGATCGCTATTAAGTGTTTCTCCTGGGAATTTAAAACTTCTTAAAGAGCTGCAAGGCATCTGCCTGTGGAATCACAGGTTGCAACGCAGAAAGAACAACTTCCCTGAAAGGGCTGCTGACAGCCAGGGGCTGGAGTTGTGTATCCCAGCATGGAGGTGCAAAAGGGTCTGCGATGTCATTTTTAAGTAAACGGTGCTCTGCTGGGGAAGGGCCCCTCCTTTTGCAGGCTGTCCAGTACCATATCAACCGGGGCCTCTTCACAGCCGTTAGAATGTTTGTCTCATCTACAGCCAAGTGGAACGCAGAAGCTGGAGAGCTGCAGAACACATCCGCCTCCCAGGGCCCGCCTCTCAGGCTCCTGCCAGAGTCCCGTGGGCCTCTGTGTTTCCCTAGAAGCCCTGCTGTGTGTTTATGCTGTGTGCTACCCTCTCGGGAACCATTCCTGGCCCCTGCTGGAGTTTTTTCCCTTCTGTTTCAACCACAGCCCTGCTCTGCTGGCCATCTTGAAAAGAAGATCAGACCCGTGCAGTTTTCCTGTTTCTCCTCGTGGCGTAATTGCCTGGCCTGTCTCTGGCTTCTGACA